CCCTGGACGTCACAGACAACACCAGCTGCCCCGCTACTGGAGGAACCGCACGCAAACAACACACAAATCCTCAATATCGTCCATATTAAACTCCAGATCAATGAGATTCATCATCATCAACAATTCTGGTCCAAGACCATAACAACACCACCGCGACAACACCACCGCGACAACACCACCACGACAACACCACCGCTACCACACCGCGACACCACCACCGCTACACCACCGGGACAACACCACCGCGATATCACCGGCCGCTACAACACCACCGCGACAACACCACCACGACAACACCACCGCTACCACACCGCGACACCACCACCGCTACACCACCGGGACAACACCACCGCGATATCACCGGCCGCTACAACACCACCGCGACAACACCACCGCGACAACACCACGACAACACCACCACGACAACACCACCGCGACAACACCGCGACACCACCACCGCTACACCACCGGGACAACACCACCGCGATATCACCGGCCGCTACAACACCACCGCGACAACACCACCGCAACAACACCACCGCAACAACACCACCGCGACAACACCACCGCAACAACACCACCGCAACAACACCACCGCAACAACACCACCGCGACATCACGCTACCATACCGCGACAACACCACCGCTACATCATCGCTACAACACCACCGCTATATCACCGTGACAACACCACCGCTACAACATCACTGCTACTACAACACAGTGAAAACACCACCGCCGCTACATCACCGCGACAACATCACCGCTACAACCGCTACAACACCGTGACACCCCCGCTACAACACCACCGCGACAACACCACCGCTACATCACTGCTACAACACTGCTACATCACAGCGACAACACCACCGCTACAACACTGCTACACCACTGCTACAACACCGTGACAACACCACCGCTACATCACCGTGACAACACCACCGCTACATCACCGCTACAACACCGTGACAACACCACCGCTACATCACTGCTACAACACCGTGACAACACCGCTATCCCTTTAATTCAAATAACTTCTTGCAGCGACATCTCTTCTCTGATGATGCGTTTACTGGCATGAGGGCGGGACAACCTGTCACTCACACGAGATCGACCAATAGCAAACCACAACCATGCAATCAACTCCAGAGAATAAAATCAAGCCCCGTCCACATTTGTTCAGAAGCCTTTCACTCACATCTATACGTCACAACAGGGAAGAACAGACTATCACAACTTCCACTGAGTTTGTACAGTTAGCAATAAAATTTCAGATACTTTACATTTTAATAAAATATCTAGGTGGTATAGAGGAAAATGGATAATTGAAACTGATTTTCTTGAAAACAAAAAATGTATTGAGTATTTATAATATTTTTATATTAAATCTTAAAAACTCTTTCAAAATAAAGTCAGTGTGGTGGAAGCCATTTTTTCCTTGTGACAAGCCCTCAACAAAGATGACCCCTTTACACTTACACACTCAATCCTGACTTCTTTATGAAAAGTTGTTTTTTGGGGGGTCAAATTACGTACAGTATAATCTATTTAAATCATGACATAAATATGTTTAAAAACACACCCATGTAGGCTATTTCAATATTTGAGTAGTTTTAATTGGCCATCACTTAGACATTTCTCAATTTTTAAATGATAAAAAATGGTAGCCTATAGGCCTAAATGTTTTTTTTTTTCCAAAAACGTATGAAATATGAATATATATATATAAAAAAAACCGTTGGCAGATATATTTTAAACTATATTTTTCAAGTTCATCATCTCAAGACATCCTTGCTTGTCATCGATCTGTGAGTTGAGAAAGGCGTAAAGAAAAGTTTGTGAACTTTCTCAAAAGTTTCCAAACCGAGTCAAACGTTAGTGTAAACAATCAAACACGGTCCGGATACCTGATGCAGCGCCGTCAGCCCGTCTATATTGGCGTGATTGATATCAGCTCCCTGTCGCAGGAGCTCCGCCACCTCCTCCCGGTCTCCGGCGGAGCAAGCGGCCATGAACACAGCGCCCTGGGCGAAGCGCACTCGGGCCCGCCGGTTTCCGGGAGCCGAGGACTGGCTCTTCGCCTCCACCCCGGTCCGGTCCGTCTCCGAGCCCTGCCACCGCTGCAGCTGATCCTGCCGCCGCTGCTTCGCCGCTTCGGACCGGGAACGGTCAGTGGCCGCCATCTTCCTCCCTCGGTATCTCCCGGGGAGTTTCAGTTCATCAGACAAGTGATGTCCGATTCCCATACCATTCGTTCGTTTGAACCGATTCTTTGAAATGATTCGTTCGAACCGATACGGTTGTGAATCAATCGAGAGGATAGATATTTTTTATCACAACAAAACTACTGTTGTTTTGTTTTTCGTTTCGGGTTTTTTTTTTTTCTCAGTTGAGACGAACCTCATTTGATTGGTCAACAACAAAAACTAGATTAAAAAGTTTACTGACAAACGTTGAAGTTGGCTTAAAAAAAAGCCTAGACAGAAAGTTATACACATTTTTAACAGCTTTGAAGGTTTTCAGTTTAGTTTTAAAGTTTAAAGTCAAACAGTCTGAAGGTCTAGTCTGAGTTTGGTGGATGGAAGTGTAGGAGGAGTTGCATTTATACATCAATAGTCTAATAATAATAATAACCTCGTAGTCAGTAAGATCAGTAAGATGCCTTTTTCATCCAATGCACAGATAACTGGCGTGTTCATTAAAAAACGAATTATCCGAATGAACCGATTCACTAAAATGAATCGGACCCCCCAGTAGTCTATTAGATCAGACCGGAGAGAGAGGAGGAGAGGCGCAACAGGAGGAACAAAACGCGCCCTCTGCCGGTCACGAAGAGAGTTGTGCGCAAGTTCATCAGCCAATAGAAACGCAGGGCCATGATGACGTAGTAAACTCCGTGTACTTAAACTTGACCGTCTGTCGGACGGATCCCTATTGTTTACCTATAAAAGTCAGAAGATCTTTGCAAACGTTCCCCAGACACGTAGTTTGGAAAAGCAATGAAGAACATACGACAAAATAAAACAAACTCCTAAAAATAATTGATGGCAAAGGAGATCCTTGCTTTTGTAAACCCTTTTTAAGTTGAAAAAAGAGACAAGATTATTCTTTGCCGAACTTACTATCCTGGGAAAAATGAAGAATCATTATTTTAAAAGAGTACATCTGAAATAAAGTTGAATTTTATGTCAAAAACTTTATTAGGTCCGCTAAACACATACATTAGAGTACTAATGACTTGATATGTGAGCAGAAGTGCAGATTAGCAGGTGTACTTTACCATCTGGCTCACACTAAGAGCCAAATCCCAGATTTTGAAGCATTTATAAAAGATTAACAGATTAGTTCAGTCCAGCTCTAACCTTAATCTGTGTTTGGCGACCATTTACAAAAAAACGACAATCAGTAAGGCACAAACCATACACAAAAAGTAGCACGAAACATGCTTTTAACACAGAAGAGAACAGTACAGTAGCAGCATTGATAGTTGCATTGCCAGGGCATACGGTCACATGTGTGCTTTTAATCAGTCTACATGCATAACCCTTTAAAGAGTAGATCACCTTCAGTTCAATACAGGTCGCTTCACTTCTGCAGTTTGACACAAACCTCCTTCAAAACATAAATACTGATGAACCAGGACACGCAACACCCATCCAGGGACATCCTGAGAGGAATTTGAACAATATAATGTCAAAAAGGAACATTGATGAAGTTTGACATTTCTCAGGCTGTGAATAAATATAAAGTTCTCAATTAGCTTTTTTAGTCTCGATGCAGAATGTGCTCTTCACCTCAAATCAAGCTTCTCACAATATAAACTTTTGCTTTCTTTTTGCTGATGCATTCTGAAACGCTTGACATATAAGTTCACAGTGCATTGTGGGATATAATGGTCTATCAGGCCGGAGGTTAAAGCATCAGGCTTGTGTTCGGGGCTCCGAGAGCACGCATGGTTAGGCCCTCCATTGCCTCGTGGTGGCTCTGGGCGCTGGGGTGAGCCGAACTGGCGGTGAACGACCCCCGGAAGTCCAGGTTGACGCAGAAAAGGCCTGGCAGGAGTTGGCGCTGGTACTGGTCCAATCGCAGCATGGCGTCCAGGACCGTGGAGCTGCCTCCGCAGACCCAGTCTGGCAGCAGACGGGACGCACTAAAGCTGGACGGGGCCGACTGGGAATGCTTCAGTTCCAGCTGATAGGAGAATCTGAGAGAGAGAAATCACTGCTTCAGGTTATGTTCTTCTGAGGTCAGTATTTTTGGGAATGTTGTGTATTAATCAGCGCCTAGTGTTTTAGAATTGGCTCCGTTATTCAGTTAATGAGTGAACATTTTGAAATTTGTAATTTTATTTGAAATGACTCATTAGATTCAATCCAAATGACTCATTAGAGTCGCATAGATTCAATAATATATGTTATAGGTGTTCTATCACCATTGTTGTCCTGCTTTCCTGTCAAAAAAATTCAAAAAATCCTCAAAGATGGTGAATTACGTGGCGAG